TTTCTAAACCCTTAATGCTACGTTTGGTGTGCAAGAATGAAATATAATGTAAGTGGGAATGGAATAAAAATGGGAATGGAATGGAATGGTTATTCTCATTCTATTGTTTAGTTGTAAATATGAAATGTGTAGGAATGGAATGATAACAACCATTCTAGTATTTGGTTGGACTAATTTAAAATTTAGAATGAAATAAATTTTAAATTCAATTCTCCAAAATATCCCTCTTAGTAACAAATAAATTAAATTAACAAAATAACATTTTCTAATAAATTTTTAAAAATAAATGGTGGCAGTGACAGTGGTGGATGGTGGTGGTGGAGGAAAGCGGTGGTGGTGTAGGTGGTGGTGTTTGAAGGCGGTGGTGGAGGCAATGGTGGAAGACGGTGGTAGTGGCGATGGAAGGCTGCGGTAGTGGCGGTGGCAATAGTGTGGTGGTGGTGATGGAAGGAGATAGTAATGTAGGTAATGGTGGTGGAAGCCAATGGAAGTGACTGTGGCGGTGGTGGTGGAAGGTAGTGGAGGTGGCAGTGGTGGAAGTGGTGGTGGTGGTGGAAGGTGGAGGCGGTGGTGGTGGAAGGCGGTGGTGGTGGTGGAAGCGGTGGCAGTAGCGGTGGTGGTAAAAGGTGATGGCGGCCGCGATGGTGGTGGTAGAAGGCGGTGGTGGAAGACGGTGGTGGAAGACGGTGGTGGTGGTGAAAGGCGGTGGCAGAAGGTGGTAGTGGTGGTGAAAGGCGGTGGCGGTAGTGGTGATGGTGAAAGGTGGTGGTGGAAGGTGGTAGTAGTGGTAAAAGGCGATGGCCGTGGTGGTGGTGGAAGGTGGTGGCGGTAGTGGTGGTGGTGGAGAGTGGTGGCAGTGATGAAAGGCAATGGTGGTGGAAGGTGGTGGCGGTGGTGAAAGGCAATGGTGGTGGAAGGTGGAGGTGGTAGCAGCAATGGAAGGTGGTGGCGGTAGCGACAATGGAACGCGTTGGCGGTGGCGGTGGAAGGCAATGGAAGGCGGTAGTGGTGGTGAAAGGTGGTGGTGGAAGGTGGTAGTGGTGGTGAAAGCGATGGCAGTGGTGGTGGCGGTGGTGAAAGACGATGGTGGCAGTGGTGGTGACAGAAGTGAAAGGTGATGGCTGTGGTGGAAGGCGATAGCGGTGGTGGTGGAAAGTGGTGGCGGTGGTGAAAGGTAATGGTAGTGGTAGTGGTAGTGGTGGTGGTAGCGGTGTTGAAAGGCGGTGGCGGTATGTGGTGGTGATGGAAAGCGGTGGGCAATAGTGAAAGTCGATGCCGGTGGTAGTGGTGGAAGACAGTGGTAGTGGTAGTCGTAGTGGTAGTGGTGGTGGTGGTGGTGAAAGGTGGAGGTGGTTATGGTAGAAGGTAGTGGTGATTTTTTGGATTTCGAATATATGAATTTTTTGAGAAATTTTTTTTTTTTTTTTTTTTTTTTTTTTTTTTTTTTAAATTACTTGAAAATGGAATGGTCATTGTATAGGTTTAGTTGTTGAATGGATTTTTATTCCTAGGAATGAATTTTCATTCTAGTGGAATGACTATTCCCACTTTAAATTGCATACCAGATAATAGAATGATTGAAAAGAGTATTTCATTCCATTTTATTCCTACACACCAAACGCAACAAGAATTCTTTAAATTTGATCACATAGATTATATGGATTAAATAAAGGAGAGTTGGTGGGTTATGATCTCACCAATTTTTACACAAAGTTGAAGTGTCCGACTATTTCGTCATACATGTACTTAAATTTCAATGATAATATTGAGGGCGTGAATCATCTGCAGTAAGGCTCCCATGCAGTTTCCTACTGTAATTTTTAAGTGGTCCATATTTTGCCACATCATTCTTGAGTAAACGGACACTAAGGTCGTGTTTGGCCAATTACACCACTATTTATAAGTAACATTTCACCACCATTTATAAGTAATATCGCATAGTCTAAAAAGTAATGTCACATATAAACATAACTTAATTCAACATATCATTTATGTTATTATTTAAAATTAAAAGTGGTGATGTTTCCTTTTACAAATGGTGATGTTACTTTTTAGACTCTGTGATGTTACTTATAAATGGTGGTGAAATGTAAAAATAGTCTAAAAAGTAACATCACCACCATTTATAAGTAACGTCAAAGTAGTCTAAAAGTAACATCACATAGTTTAAAAAGTAACATCACCACGTTTTGAGGATGAAAGATACTTGTAAATGGTGGTGATGTTACTTTTAGATTATGTGATATTACTTTTAGATTTCTGTGACATTACTTAAAAATGATGGTGAAATATTATTTATAAATAGTTGTGCAATTGCCAAACATAGTGTTAGTGTCTATTAAGTGGAATAAAATGTGGCCAAACCAAGGCCACTTATTGCTCATTGCAGGAAACTGCATAGGAATTGCACTGTAGGTGATTCGCGCCCATTGAATGCCTATAATTCAAAGTCTATTGATGAAGGTGACTAAATTTACTAAATTAAATAGAAGATGCTAATATAGGAAACATTTTTTCAATTAAGAAACTTAAATTTGTGTGATCAGGTGAAATGAGCTGTCTATAATACTTTTTGTCACAAACATTATTTTCTACTTAACTAAATAGAAGTCTTTAAATTTATTATTGTTATAAGATAAAGGAATAATTTTTAAATACTATACTTGTTTAATTAAGCCAATCTCGAAAAGGTAGTTTGAAAATGTTGTAGAAAATAACATATTTATTTTTGAAATGAGACATTTATTTTGGTATATCTTAAAATAAAAAGATAGATAAAAATTTTGGGACCGATGGAATATATTTTATTATTTGACTCTCATAGACAATTCATCAAAAGTAAAAGAAAAAAAGAAAAGAAAAAGGGGATATAAAAGAATTTGAAGTATATAAGAATCTCTTTTAACAAAATAAAAGGACTTCGGGTTGCTTTTATTCCGACCAAACAGGAAACCAAAAGCAAAATCCAATGATGACATAAATCTAAATTCATCTTGTTTGTATCAATTTCACAAAAATATAGCTGAACTAGTCAAGTATCAACCAGAAGTAATTTAGGAGAAAAACAACATTCTTCATAAAATCATATCACAATATATATATATATATATATATATATATATATAGAATTTTTTTTTCAAGATATTCATGACAAATTTTATTATAGGTTCATTTTAGTTTATCTAACCAAATAAAGTTTGTTATTTTAAGGAATACTTGGTATATTAACACCTTCATTTGATTTATGAAAGTTGGGACCCTTAACAGACCTGAATTATAGCCTTTCAATATTATTATTGAAATTTAAATACATGAATCGAATGATAAAATAATACTTTAAAAATCTTGTAAAAATGGTGAGACTCTACGTAAATTATTGAACGGCTATAATTCAGGTCTGTTAAGGGTCCCAACTTTCGTAAATCAAATGAAGGTGTTAGTATACCAAGTATTCCTTAAAATAACAAACTTTATTTGGTTAGATAAACTAAAATGAACCTATAATAAAATTTGTCATGAATATCTTGAAAAAAAAATTCATAATGTATAGAACTACTCATATAACTTTGATATTCCTTTTCGATGGATAGCACTATTCATTAATTTTTATATTTGGCATAGAAAAAAGAAGTACAGAATAATCTGTTTTAATAACAAAATTAAAGCACCTTAGGTCATGTATTGCTTTTATTCCAAGCTGGCATAAAGTCTCAACTTCATCTGGTTTGTCCAAAAATATATGGTCTATTTTGCCTTTAACTTTTTCTTTGGAATCAATTTTACAAAAAGTATCTAAAGTTCTCAACTGAAACAATACTCATCAAGAAATCTGGTGCGAGACACAATCACAATTTTTTTTTTTTTTTTTTTTGAATTTATTTAATTTCTGAAACAATTTTTTGAAATGTGCGAAAAGTCAAATCAATTATTTAATATATCTAAATTAAAAAAATTAAGAAAGTTCATGACTCTTCTCGGCGTAAAGAACCTCTTAGAAACTTTACTCTTTAAAATTTTCCAAATAGATTACGGTATTAAATGAAGGAGACTTGGTGAATTATGGTCTCACCAATTTTTACACAAAGTTATTGTGTGACTATTTCGTCGTATATGTACTTAAATTTCAATGATAATATTGAAGGCCTACAATTCGATTTTGTTGATGAAGGTGACTAAATTTACTAAATTAAATAGAAGATGGTAATATACGAAATATTTTTTCCATTAATAAACTTTTTTTTGTGATCAGGTGAAATGAGCTTCCTATAATAACTTTTTTGTCACAAATATTATTTTCTGCTTCACTAAATAGAAGTCTTCAAATTTATCATTGTTAAAAGATAAAGGGATACTCTATAATTATTACATGTTTAATTAAGTCAATGTCAAAAAAAAAAAACAGAAAAAGTAAAAAAAGGGGGAAGCTATGTTCACAACATGTAAGTTTAGCCACATGCGTGATGCTTTACTTGTTTTAATTTGTTACTTTTGATAAAGAAAAAGGGGACGCTATGTTCACAATATATAAGTTTAGCCACCGCTTGATGCTTTACTTGTTTAATTTAATTTGTTACTTTAATAAAGCTCAAAGATACTTTGCTTATTTCATGTAATTAAATAATGCAAACACTTCATCTCTCTCTATATATAACAGTTTGGAGAGTGAGAGAGTCAATATACATTCCAGCTCTAGTACTCTGTCATATTGCTACCCTTCCATTTTTATATAATGGCTTCCTCAAACTCTGAAATATCGTCTTCCGTAAATAAGTACCCATATCCAGTAGAGGTTAACGTGAGGCATTTTGTTGATGTCGTCCTCTCTCAACAAAACTACTTTGTGTGGAAAAAGCTGATGCTTCGTCTTTTCGAGACTCAAGGTTTGATTGGTTTCATCAATGGTGAAATTCTGACACCACCTGAAAAGATTACAATACCAAATGATGACGATGTTAACTCTCCCAATGACAGGAAAGAGATGGAGAACCAGGATTACAAGGACTGGAAAAGATCGGACACATTGTTACAAAGATGGGTTAGAGAGACCATTAATGAAGATGTTCTTCCAAATGTGGTGTGCCTGAAAAGTGCCAAAGATATGTGGTCAAAGTTAATTACCCTCCATGAAACAAAAATAGGTATGTCCACCATGCATGGCTTATTTAATTTTGTGAATAATTACATACATATATAATTAATTAATTTACATACACTTAATTTAGCACTTCAACCTAGCATTCATCATTAATTCATTGATATTCTAAAACTTTTGCAGAGTACCCATACCCAGCAGAGATCAACGTGGGGACTTTATTCCTATCAAGCTGTCTAAAGATAACTATTTTAGGTGGAAAACGTTGATGCTTGGTCTTATTGAGACTCAAGGCTTGCTTGCTTTCATTAATGGTGAGGTCTCAGCACCACCTGAAAGGATCATAGTACCAGAAGACGGTGAAAATGTCGTAGTACCAGATAATGTTGTTACTTATGCTAATGCTGACGGTGATAGCTGCATTATCTACACGAAGATGATAGATAACCAGCATTACCAGGATTGGAAAAGATCCGACCAGCTGTTGCTAACATGGATCAAGGAGACAATCAATGAAGATGTTCTTCGAAGTGTGGAGTGCTGCAAAACTGCTAAAGATATGTGGTCAAACATAATTATCCTGCGTGAAAGAAAAATAGGTAAGGTGACTTTATTAGTATTTGAATAAATGTATTTTTCATATATAGTACTTGAGCTTTCATGATTAAATTGGCTAAATTTCTGAAACTCCTCTCTTTTGCAGACTGTCCACACGGGGCAGTAGGTGTCAAGGTGACCGACTTTGTTCCGATGAAGCTGTCTAGTAGTGATAACTATTGTACTTGGAAAACGTGGATGCTTCGTTTTATTGAGAATCAAGGCATGCTTGGTTTCATCAATGGTGAAGTTTCAAAACCAACATTTTCTGACCAAAACAACAGCAGCAACAACAACGATGAATGGAGAAAATCAGACGAGCAGTTGCAAAGATGGATGAAGGAAACGATGAGCGAAGATATCTGCCAAGAGTTGGTACGGCTTGAAACGTCAAAAGATATATGGGAAACATTAATCACACTTCATGAAACTAATGTGGGTAAGGTCGTCTGTGAATTAATTAATTTATGGCGGATCACATATATGTAAACTCAAACCTTTCATCAATGAATAAATTTCTCAAACTCTTAATTTGCTCTTTTGATTAATTAATTGCAGTGTACCCATACCCAGTAGAGGTCAACATGCCTGACTCTGTTCCCTTGAAGCTTTCCAGAAGCAACTATGTTGTGTGGAGAAGACAGATGCTTGGTCTTTTTAGGAATGAAGGCTTGCTTGGTTTCATTTTGCCACAAAAAAAGATCATCCCGAGAGCAGTTCCCTTGGCATGGAAAAGAACAGATGCGTTGTTGAAAAGCTGGGTTATAAAGACTATCAATGAAAACTTGGTTGCATATGTGGTGGACTTGGAAACTGCCAGGGATATGTGGACTAAGTTAGAAGCAGAATTCACTTATGGAAAAGGTTCCTCTACTGAAACTATATTTGGTAAGGTTACTATGGTCATCACATATTTGTATTACATACGATTTCAAAGTTTTTCATCACTTATATTTTATATGGACGGACTAGTCCATATATTTTGATAACATATATATATATTAAAGTGCAAAATTAATGTTTTGTAGAGTACCCATACCCAGAAGAGGCTAACGTGGGGGACTTTGTTCCCATCAAGCTCTCAACAGAAACCTCTTCTCTGTGGGAAGATTTGATGTTTAGTCTTATTGAGAGACATGGATTGGTTGGTTTCATCAATGGCAAGATTCCCGCACCACCGAAAGGGATCAGAATAGCAGATGAGTCTAATAGCCAAAATATGGTTTATAAGAACCCAGATTACATGGCATGGAAAAGAACAGACCAGCTGTTACAGAGCTGGATTGTGGGGACCATCAATCAAGATCTTCTTCCATGTTTGGTGAACTTGGAAACTGCCCAAGAGATATGGACAAAGTTATATAAACTCTTCGATTTCGGTTTTCATATATATGAAAGTACTGAAACCGGTAAGTTATATAAACTCCTAGTTGGATAATGTTTACACTATCATAATGTGAATGACTAACTGGATGTATCAAAAGTTTGGTAGTTGAATATATAGTAGATACATACTTATATATCTCTTTTTTACGTAAATCATATATATATATATATACAGTACTCATCTCTTGTTTAATGTGAAGCAAGAATTTTAACTTTATATACTTTCCATATATTACAAACGATTCTCTCCCTATTTTTAATTTTCAAAATTAATACTAAAAAGTAATTACCGAAAAATTAATGACTATTTCCGACTTCATAAAAAACTTCAACAAGTTATCAGAATAAATACCTGAGTCTTATTTATTTATTTCTATTAATACCTGAGTCAATCAATAAGGTTGCCTCCCATAAATTGGTGTCGTTGAGTCTAACAAGGTCTATTAATATAATTCAACTAAAAAAAGGTCTATTAATTTTTTAAGAATCAAAATATTATCAAAATAAATTAATAGGTTTCAATTTGAGTTTTTTCCCTCCCTCGAAATTAAAAATTAATTGCAAATTGTCATAGAATTAGGCAAACCATGACTAACTAATACGGAGTATTTCTTTATGAAGAGCATATGAAATATTTAATACCTGAGTCAATCAATAAGGCTGCATGAAATTTATTAAAAAGCGTGGATAAAATTTCATCCTCCCATTCAATAAGAGATGAGGACTATATATATATATATATATATATCTATCTTTGTGTCTGCACACACATACTAATTAGAGATTTTGTATCACTCTTCATGAAATCCTCAAATTTCAAAATCATGTAGGAAATAATTAATTGAAGTGATTCTGATGAGTATTATCTTTGTTGATGTGTTTTTCGTGACTGTCATATGTAGATGAGGAAACAGAAGAAGATCCAATTAGTAAATATGTGTCGCTGCACTGACAGGTGATTGGGAGACAGGCAACGAATTTATTAAAAAAAACCCAGGTGCAGAGAGAGCCTTTGTCACAATAGTAAATGAAACAGCACTGATGATAGCAGTTAGATCATCATCTGCGCGGGGAAATCATTTTGTGAAGAAGCTCTTGGAGTCTATGTCATTAGAGGATGTGGCCCTACGTGATAGTATTCGTGGCAGAACAGCTCTACAATATGCTGCAATAGCTGGCAATACTGGGGCAGCCAAGTTGTTAGTGGACAAGAACCCATTCCTTCCCAATTGTTGTAATGATGAAGACTTCACACCTCTCCTCGGTGCGGCAGCATACGGCCGAAGGAAGATGGTTGATTACTTGTTGGACGTCACCAAAGATGATATTCATCCTAAACCATTTGAGTTCAAAATGCTATTCATTTGAAAGAAATCAGCAGCATGACTACTTAATTCATAATTTACTAAATTAAATACAGGGTTGTAAATTAAATCTGATACTTTGTGGTCTATTAGGTGAGCAATATTGTAAATTATTATTAATTATAAAAATAGTTTTCATACACGGAAAAAACAAGAAAACAAAAATGATACAAAAAAAATATTAAAACAAAACAACTTCTTAATTACTCATTAAACCTTAATTTATCATATTTATGTCACAGATATTGCTCAAGAAAACAAAAATGATATAAAAAAAATATTAAAACAAAACAACGTCTTACTCATTAAAACTTAATTTATCATATTTATATCACAGATATTGCTCTATTATTGATTCAGCGCTACCCCAAACTGGCATGGGAGCAACATCATCCGGCACTGGAAGTAATTGCTCTGAGTGGTTCTTCTGCATTTAAAAGTGGAGCACAGCTAAATTGGTGGCAAAACTTTATCTACTCTTGTTAGTCTCTCTCTCCTCTTTTTATTATTATAATTTGTGGAGTATTGTTTTTTTAACCTTTTTCTGCGGCTGGACGTGCATATGTCATTGGTTCTAATTTGGTTTTTGGTTTTGGAAAATTTCAAAAACTCATACTGCCAAGTAAACAAATTTCAACCTAAGTTCATCTCCAATAAACTTTGCCAACACTGCCAAATAAAGTTGTCTACCGGTGACACTTCTTTATTACAGGAAAAAAATAAAATAATGATTTAGGGAGTCAAATTCAATAACTATAGAATTCGAAACTTAAGTCAAATTCAAAGAAATATGATTGGCAATAGACAAAATGAGTAAATTAACTGAAAGCCATAACATGAAAATGTTGATCACGGTACGAGAGTCACATACTCTAAAAAAGGAGTAAAGTAGGAGACACGCAAGATTTTTTTTCATTCTACTTCATCAACTTCAAGAGTTGCAAGAAATTATTTTCTCCCTCAATGAGTTTTAGTATTAAATTATTGGTCAAAAACCGTGTACTGTACATCTATCCATCTAGTATCAATGGTGTATAATATAAAAATAAGGAAGATACTGGAATGTGACTGCAAAGATCAGAGAAGTTAATAATGATATTCAACTGTTACTAGAATTTAGGAAACTTATAGAAACTTCATTTATAAATAAATTTAACAGTTTGATGTGAAATATAATAAATATATATATATATATATAGAATAGTTCACCTGTTTTTTGGTGTGCAGAAAAATACATGCATATATCAAGTGTTAGATTCTATTGGGCAGTTAAAAAAATACTTTATTCTTTTATATTTAATGGTTAAGATTTAATTCATGCATAAATTTTTTACGCACCAATAAGTAAAAGCTGAACAGTTATATATATATATATATATATTGTAGGTATGTATATGTTACGAATATTTTAATAAAAACATAAATAATATTTAATTTAATTATCTATTATATTTATTATGAATATTATTATATGAGTTACATAAATACTCATAATTTTTAGAGTTACGATATGACCATTATGATATATATATATATATATAGAGGTGTGCAACTTGTGTTGAATAACTCGAATCCAACCCGAGCCCAGCTAGATTTTTTACGAACTTGAACAAATATTTTTATAATTAGAGTTGAGCTTAGATTGAAGTACTAGTAACCCGAACTAATTCGAACCCAAATTCTAATATTATTTTCATAAAAAAAAAATATATATATATAATAATGACTTAAGGGCCAAATTCAATAACTATCGAATCCATTCATTATTCAAAAGAAATATGACATGAAAATGTCAGAGAGTCACAAACTCTTAAGAAAGAAGTACAGCAGGAGACACGCAAGATTTTTTTTCATCCTGAACTTCAAGAGTTGCAAGAAATTATTTTCTCGGTAAATGAGTTTTTTGGAAGACATAGTATTAAATTATAGGTCAAAAATCATGTACTGGACATCTATCTATCTAGTATCTACCCAATAATATATATTACCCACATTTATCACGTTTGCTACGCTGCATCACTTCTGTTATCTAAATATCGTTATATTGACCAATGTGCTAGTGTACTTTTGTTATCTAAATATCCTTATATTAACCAATGTGCTATAATTTAGAAACGTAAGAAAGAAAAAAATCTCAAATGAAATGTCGGTCCAATTCCTATATATCCTTTCGGTAGAACACAATTTGATATAAAACTTTAATTTATTTTTTTAACTTACCCATCAAGGAAATAATATTCACTATTTCACCCGAATCTCCATTGAACAATGATTATTAAATTATTGATTGAATAAAAAATATATAATTTTAATTTTAATTGTTAAAATGAGTTAATATATATATTTTTATATTTTTTAATTGAATAAAAAATATCTAATATTTTTTGTAGTTGTGATTTTGTCCTTGCACTGATACGTAATCTAAATGATATTCTCATCCAAATAAAGGATATTGATACACTTTTTGTTCAACTTTAATGATCAACAAATAAAATAAAAGAATACAATTACAACTCTGTCAATCTAAGTTTTGACATAAAAAAATTGCCAACAAAAACAAAGTTTCTCATAGTCTTAACACCTCTTGAAGATTGTGACTGAGGAATTGACACATCGTTCAATGATTATCTCCCAAAAATTCCATTCCTTTCTGCACAGGGTGCTTCGAGGGGTCATATATACATTATGTCACTTTTACTAGTCTAAAAAGTTATGCCAATTTGTCGCCTAGGTCTCGTTATTGATCACAACTATCTACATTAAATTAGTATATGGTCAGTCAATCATCATATGACACATTCATAAAAAATATATATATATATATAATTAAAATTTACACTTTTTTGACATATTTATTGGTGTATTAATAATTTACCTGGGACCATGTAGTAATTTGTGGTCTTAGAAACATAGTTGATAGTTTTGTTGGTCGCCAAGACATTAGAGTTGTGGGTATATTTTGAGTGTTAAGACAAACACTCTTTAATGCAATAAAAACAAAATTGGAATAGGTAAATATAGTTAATTAATCTCAAGAGAATTCCAAAATTTTACTTGGAAAACACATTTACCAAGGGAATTTTGCCACTACAACTTTACTTATAATGGTAGAAACCGTAAAAAGTAATACTTTCTGTAGTATTATAGATACCAAAAGTTTCAGTATTAGAAGGACCACACAAGTCTATTATAAAATACTGAAACACGAAAATAAATTCTCTTGCCACTTGTTTTGCACCAGTCTCATTATTCTTTTATTTTTCTTTTCAAAAAATATTTATGTAAAGCAGATCAGTAATTTTATTATTCTCTCATCATTTAGATGTTCCCACAAAGTTAGAAGCTCCACATAACTGTTACAGAGGAGACATCGAGAATCCTACCAATATCAGCTTCCTCTCAGGTTTATCAAAGTTCCTTAGTTTTTATTTGTTTGTTTTATTTACTTTATTTTTGACTGATGGCAAGATATGAAATCCTAACTCTCTTTTCTTTTTTTAAGATATCATGACAGCATTTATGTGTGGTGCAATAGTATGTGTTTATATTTGTTTGTGTATATGTGTGTACAAGTGTGTTTTCATGTGTTTATATAAATGAGTATGTTTGTGTATGTGTGTACATTTGTGTACATGTGTGCGTGTATGTTTAAATAAGTAACATGATTTTGTACTTTTGTTGTATGAGTAATTTCTTGATAGAAGTTATAGCTTGTTCCAAAGTGCTGCCCTCCATCTTTGACGTTGACAGATTTACTTTGGTTGTGCATGCAGTGAAGCGAAAACTGCATTATATAACATGGAAAGTCATTTTAATATTTGGTAAGTAATGTGTAAAATAGCCACTTTAGTTTGGAGCATGCAATACTAAAATTTATAACACTAACCACTTCATTCCTCAATTTCATTTGAATTGCAGTCCCACAGATGAAATGCATTCAAGATATAAAATTGAAACACGAGCAAGCACTTCAGCTTGTCAAACATCTTTGCTGTAAAAGTTTGGAGTTGAAATCCTCAAAAGTTAAAGAGATAATTCAAAATTCTTTAATGCGTGCAGCAAATTCCGGGATTACTGAAGTTATTGAAGAAATTATTGAAGTGGTTCCGGGATCAGTTTATCATACAAATGAGATGGGACAAAATATATTCCATGTTACAATTTTGAACCGTTGTGAAGATGTATTCAACCTCATTTATCAATTTCGTGAGGAGGTAAGACACCTTATATTGACAGATGAAGACTCAAATGATAAAAGTTGTTTAGATCTGGTTGTAGATTTGAAGAAAGTGCAAAAACTCAATTTTAGAGCAAGTGCGGCTGGTGCAGCTCTACAGATGCAGCGTGAATTGCAATGGTTCAAGGTAAATGATTACTATTTTTATACTAAGAAACAGTGTTGGACAATAAATTCCTTTAAATTTCAGACTTATCCTTGAGTCGATTTAATTAAAATTTACAGACTCTCTTGATCCTCTTTTTGGTAGGACATATTATATGTTGAGTTTGAGCTTAAAATCTTATCTGGAATCCATTCTACCAAGTTTGGACTATAATTAATTTGAATCTAATTTTATATTAGTTTAGATACGGATCCATTTAATTTATAAGATTCGTCTTGGACGTGACTTGGATACGGTATAAAATAAATCATGTTAACCAATAATCGACCCAAAACAAGTCCGTTTTTTTTATTGGGTAAAGACTTCTTAATCATATGAGGTAGATAGACATTATATATAAGATTCAAAGCCAATATATGGACCCTCACATTATGATATGAGTCTGGACTCGGATTTATCTAGATCTATTTGGATCTAGTACATTAATCATATGATGATTTTGTTTGTTTTTCTTGTTTTTATTTGTTGTCTCTGCGTGTCCCTTTCCTAGCTTATAGCTGGTTGTTTCGGGGTATTTTTACCCCTTTTACATTCTTTCTTTTCTATAAATTAATTTACTATTTATCCAATATATATATATATATATATATATATATATATATATATATATATATTTGATTCCGCGACGTCAGTCTTTTGATTATCTATTATTCTGACATTTTTCCCTTCAACCGTTTAATAAATAATGATAGGTGTCAAGTACACAAAAGCATGGCATCCTTTATTTTAAAAATGACATTTGCTATTTGGGGGGGGGGGGTCTCCAATAAGAATCATCATCATCCACGTAGTCACAAGAGAATTTTATTTTTAATTTCTTGATGAGTTATAAGAAGCTCAATTCTATTCAAGCCCAGATATAATTACCAACAAACCAATATCACCAACATCGAGCTCCTAGCCCATTAACAAAGTCAGCTGGGTCAAGTTGCATTCGGCCCAAATAAATTTAAAGACGGAACCAGTCTTGCTAGCCAAGGGATCCAACATAGAAGGAAAGTTCTACACAAAGAAGGTTTGGTATGGAAAGAATTGTAAAAAGGAAGAACTCTATTTGTGAAGAATGACTTATATGGAATGAATTGAAGGACAAGTAAGGCGAGTCCTACCATAATTCTACCACCTTTTTGTATATAAATAGAGGCTTAGTCCTCCAATAAAGATCATCGAGTAATATGCGCTTTTCTCTGAATAGTTCTTGTGAATATTTATTTTTGAGTGAGTTGTATTATTTATTTAATTCTTTTGGATAAGAGAAATTTTGCACCTATACTTTGGCACCGTCTGTGGGAAACGTATAGAAATATACCCCCACGAGTTGTTTAAATAGTTTATGTTATTACGATCATGAATGTCATTCGGAGGATCCGCAGCAGCCGCTGACCAACAGATGGAGTTAATGCAAAAGATACGAGAGGAGTTCTTGCAACAATTCGAGGCACTTTGTCAAGCAAACGAGGCCAGCACAACACAAATTACATTGCTCCAGCAAAAGAACGATGCCTTCCAGGTAGTTATGGCTCAGCTAGCACTGCAGCCACCACCAAGTGATATGCGGCACCTCCTCCAAACGGCAACGTTCCTCCTATTAACGACCCTCAAACCAACGAGGTTCGGCCTAACGAGGCTCGACTAAGCGAGGTTCAGCAAGAGTAGAGAACAATAATCGAGGCGGTTGCTTCGGGTACTCATCCTTATCGCATGCAAGATGAACAAGCCGAGTCCAACTGTAAGCCGACTATATGGTCTAACGGCATTCCGGATGGCGCTGGCACCTGGGAGGCCTTTGATGTGAAGAAGCTCCTGAGGGTTCAGACGCCCGCCGAGATGGCCAGAGAATATAAGAACTCTTTGGTGAAGACTCCGTTCACCAATGACATATACCATACTGACAGACCAAAGAAGTTTACTATGCCTTTCGTCATTCAGTTTGATGGCACAGGAGATCCTTCCCGTCATCTTGATCACTACTCACAGAAGATGGTATTAGACAATCACAACGATGCGTTCATGTGTAAGGTTTTCCCGACTAGCTTAACGGGAGCTGCATTGGAATGGTTCAAGAATAGGCCACACAAATCCATCCCAAACTACGAAACCTTGTGTGCTATGTTCCTAGTACAATACTGCGGAAACAAGAAGTAGAAGAAAACCATCTCTAGTCTCTTCACTATATGATAGAAGAGAGAAGAAATGCTATAGGATTACTATGAAGGCCTCAGAAATAGTAGACTGTCATCCTGAGACTGCTATAGAGACATTCAAGATCCTAGTCAAATAGTCCCCTCCAGACATGCAGACTCTTAATGCTAGGGCACAGATCTACATTCGACTTGAGAAGAATGTAGCCCACCGAGCACAGTATGCCACCTTCGTCATAGTGGAAAATAAGCCTCGGGAAAAAGCTTCAAGCTCGAAAAGTCAAACAAGCCAGCATGCCTCAACACCGGTCGCTCAGGTACCTAAGAAGAGGCAAAGGACAGAGGAAAGGTTCACACCTCTTCATACCACCTTGGCTCGGCTATTCCTGGAAAACGAGGTGAGATTCGCAACTCCTCAGCCAATGAGGCAACCCTTGGAGCAAAGGGATAAGAGCAAGCACTGCGCCTACCATAAGGATTACGGGCATACAACCAATGATTATAGATCCCTTAGGTGGCAAGTGGAAAACATGATAACCAAAGGTGAGTTGGCAGACTAGCTTACACCAAAAGAGTACGGGAAGCCTCGGGAGGTCAATCCTTGGAGAGTAGAGGGAAATCAGGTAAAAGTTATCCATGCGATACATAGGAGGTCAGGAGATGACCTAGAGGCAGAAGAGGTATACCGATCCAGACTGAGGATAACCCATAAACTAAGGAAGCTATCCTCGGTAAATACTATCGTTTCAGGTAGTATAAGTATTAGGTTCGGCGATGGAGATTTATGTAGAGTTCAGCTTCCCCACGAGGATCCGCTAGTCATCAGTCTGGCAAATTGCATGATCAAAAGAGTTTTGGTGGACCCAGGTAGCAGCGCCAATATTATCACAAAGGCGGTCTTCGAGCAACTAGAGATCTCGTCATCATCAATTCGGCCCACCTTGAGTCCTTTGATGGGGTTCGATGGCACAAAGGTGGATCCCATCAGGGTAATTGATTTATCTGTCACTGCGGCAAAAAGAACGTTGAAAGAAAACTTTGTTCTGACAGAGATTCACCCTTCCTATAATCTCATCATGGGAAGAGGTTGGATCCACATAATGAATGGAATCCCATCTACCCTTCATCAGGTGATGCGTTGTTTGTCTCCAGACGAAAAAAAAAGTCATTGATCTCTGGGGAGATCAAGTTGCTGCAAATGAATGCTATATGTTGACCTTGAACGAGGCAAAGAAGTGGATGAAACGATCCAAATTAGATCCGATCTCCAAAGATACTCTTAAATAGCAATTATAGAGCCCTCTGCCCAAATACTTGGAAGTAGAGGAGGAAGCTGAAGCTACAAATCCCACTGAAGAATCTCTTGAGACCGTTAACGTTATCCTCGGCGATCCTTAAAAAATCACTTACATGGGCTATTCCCTCACGGCTGAAGAGAATAAAGTTTTAATCGATGTTATCCGGAGGAATTCAGATACGTTTGCTTGGACCATTCAGACATGCTTGGGATCAACCCTTCGATTTCGTGCCATTGCTTAAGGGTGGATCCCTCGTTCAGGCCGGTCAAGCAAAAACACAGAAGGTTCGCTCCTAAGCGAAATCGAATCATTGCTGAAGAAGAAGACAAACTGCTTCAGGCAGGCTTCATCCGAGAAGTGTAGTACCCTCAATGGCTCTCAAATGTTGTGGCGGTCCAAAAGAAGAATAGAAAGTGGAGAGTGTGTATAGATTTTACAAATCTCAATAAGGCTTGTCCCAAGGATAGTTTTCCATTATCAAAGATAGATCAGATGGTTGATGCTACTACAGGCTATGAAAGACTTACATTCCTTTATGCATATTCCAGGTACAATCAAATCCCTATGAATCCAGAAGACGAAGAGAAAACATCTTTCATTACAGAGAAGGGAACTTTCTGTTATAAAGTTATGCCCTTTGGCCTTAAGAACGCTGGGGTAACTTACCAGCAACTCGTTAATAAGATCTTTGATGAGATGCTTGAAAAAAGAGTTGAGGCCTATATCGACAACATGGTTGTAAATAGTGTGAAGAAGGAGGATCATCCCAGACACCTCCAAGAAGTCTTTGACACTCTGAGAACTTACAATATGAGGTTAAATCCTTCCAAGTGTTCCTTTGCAGTCTCCTCGGGCTGATTCCTTGGCCACATTGTCAACAAGAGAGGAATAGAAGTAAGTCCGACCTAGGCTTAGGCCCTCATACAGAATCAAGAGCCGAAGATTCGCAGGGACATATAAGTTCTAACCTACTCAATCACAGTCCTCAGCCACTTTATATCCTGACTATCTGATAAGTGCAAACCGTTCTTTGATACAATAAGATCAAAGAACAAAGACATATGGGGACCTCAGCAACAAGAAGCTCTCAATCAGTTGAAGTTTTACATGGTAGAACCTCTAATTCTGTCTACTCCGAAGCCTGGAGAAACTCTCATCATGTACTTAGCAATCTCCAGCGTAGCCACAAGTGCCGTAGTGATTAGAAAAGAAAAAAAGAATCAGTACCTAGTCTTTTACACGAGTAAGATGATGACAGATGCTGAGGCCCGGTATAGCAAAGTAGAGAAGATCATACTAGCCTTAGTATATGCAAAACGAAAGCTCCGACACTATTTCAAATCTCATCGCATTGTAGTCCTTATCAATTACCCTATGAGAGTTATTCTTTCTAAGCCAGATCTATCTGGAAGAATTACCAAATGGGCTATTGTACTTAGCTCCTTTGATATATCTTATGAGCCGAACGTGTCACACAAAGGGCATGCATTGGCCGATTGTCTCCTCGAGTATGAAGATAAGC